GATGTGACTCTGTAGAAGGCTTTACCCCAGTCATTCATGAAATCACATTCTGTGTTTTACCATATTTCCAGGGCTTAGGATGGGATATTAACCTTTCTTATGAATTTCTAATTGAAAAGCATGATGGGTAGAATGGTGTTAAAATGATGGTGGTGAATAGCAAGTGACTGAGTGATAATGCCTTTGAACTTTTTAAAATTTACTGAGCATAGGAATAAATTCTTTCCCCAAATATAAAAAACAAACAAACCAAAAAAACAGCTTAGCACTTTGTTGCCTAGTGAAACAAAAATAAAGTCAATTATAAAGTGAAAAGATTTGGGAATCTTCAGTGAATTTGTTCAATTCCGAATAGCAAATAAGCAAAGAGGGGAGGGGGAAGAGGAGCTGTGAACATTCAGATGAGATGTGCTCCCCCCAGTGAGTCTAGTAGTCCGCAGCATGGTAGTGTCTCTGGCTACCATCTTGATCTGACTAGTAATGGACCTCAGATCTTTTAGCATGAAACCAAAGGGAAACAATCTGTCAATGTCACCAGGAAGTGGCACAGCTACAATATAGGAGCCAGGAGTGATCCATTCCAGTGCTGCTGTCAGTTCAAGGTCTGAAGAAAGGCAAGGCAAAAAGATAGGAGCCGGAGTAAAGAAGCAACATTTTCAGTCCTGTGGATTTTCCTATGGGCAGCTTATCTACAATCAAACCATGTCAGTAAATACTGTGTTATGGTTAAAGTACAAAATGTTTTAGCCCTATTTTATGGTGTTTTTCAAGCGTTCAGACATACTCAACTTTTGCTGTCTGAATTCTTCAACTTGGGTAGTTGACCTGCAGGTCAAAACATGAACAACTTATCAGAAAATCATGAACATTTTTCTGTCATCTTTAATACTACATGCTAAAGGGCTTTGAATTTGAATAGTTGAATATATAAAAGAGTATTTATTCATCTTTTTAACCTGTAAGGGTTATAAAACCTCAAAGTAGTGGTAGTGTGAGGGGGTGAGGACAGGGTAGGATCTTTCCCCAGTGTCTTCCAGATGAGGAAGCAGGACACATTGGGGCTGTACCTGCCTACAGTGGCATGTGACCTAGACTGATAGTGCTAGAGGCCAGCACTAGCTTCTGCATCAGTGGTTCTGAGTGTGACAAGATGACTGGGGAGTCTTTGAAACCCTTTAATGTTCTACAAGATCAAAACTAAGTTTATACTAAGATCCTCTTCTCTGCTGCCTTTCACTCTCACTCCCATGGTCTATATTAGGAAGAACATGGCGTCTTAGGAAGTCATCATTCTTCTGTTCAGGAAGTTATTTGCTACCAAATTATCTGTTTTCAGAAGTTTTCAATTTTCATTGCTAAGGTGATAAATATTGATAGAATTCGCATAAGCACAATAAATTGGAAGAGCTTGTAAGGCTGCTATGTCAACCTTTGTGGCCTGCTGATTTTGTTATTTTATGAAACTTCATTTTATGCAGGAAACGCATCTTATTTAGCTCTGTTATCATCTTCATTGATGACATGAAGAAGCTAAAGACTTGCCGAAGGCCACAAGAATAGACACTTAGTCAGAATCTAAACCTAGATTTCAGGTTTTCAGGTACTCTGCTAACCATGTGATCAGACACCCAGGCTCTCTGAGAAGTGCCAGAATGCATCAAGATTTGGACACTAACTTCTCAGAGAGGCCTTCTCAGAGCCCAGCCCATCTTCTAGGGAAAGTCAGTCAGATGCTGTTCACAGACACCGAAACAGAGAACACATCATAGCACTCCATGCTCATTTCCACTCCCACTGTGTCTGATTTGTCTTGTACTATAAGAAAAATAAAAGTGAGTGTTAATTTTCTTTTTATTTAAAGGATTTCACTTTTAAAATCATATATCCAGCTGCCCTTAACAGTTTGGGCTATTCAGCTCTGTTAGACTTGTGTACCCACATAGCTGGTCAGCTGTAGTCTAAATCCACTGGTTCTTTTAGAGGAAACGTGTGACTTCCAGCGTCTACAGAGTCCACCCCCTCCAAGCTCCTCATTACCTTACCCACAGCTTATGTCCCCCAGTGATGTTACCTGTTTCAGGAGTTTGGGTTGGAAACACCTACAGACTTTTGTCTACAGAATAGCATTTAGGGGCCATATGTTTATATATGCACCTGTGTGGGGGGGCATACATACACATGCATGTACATATGGAGACCAGAGATCAGCCTTGGTGTCTTCTTCAGTCACTGTCCTACTCTTTTATTTGAGGAAGGGACTCTCCTTGAAGCCAGAGTTATCCAATATTGCAAGGCTGACTTGTCAGTGAGCTCCAGAAACCAACCGGCACCCTGCTTTTTGACTTGGATTCTAGGAATTGAACTCAGCCCCTCATGTTTCTATGGCTAGCACCTAACTGACTAACCCACCACTCCAGCCCCACCATCTGCTTTTCATTTAGTTGAAAACCAAAAAGACACTGACAAAAACATTGCAAAGTACAGCCCGCTCCACCCAGCCAAATCTGGATGTAGTAAAGGTCTCAATGACAGTGTCAGGTAGAGCAGTCATTTCCTTTCTTACTGAAGCATGAAGCTCTGATTCATTAAAGAATGAGGATCTGCCAGTGAATTAACATTTATTTTTAAATGTGCAGCCCTGTCTCTTTTTAAGAGAGCCGTGGAATAAGCACACTCTGTTCACTGCCCTCGTTTCACGTTTATTTTAGTACTGTCTATTGTCCTCATCATTATCATGTCTGGACCCTTTAGGAGACCAAAAACGGGAACCTCTGTGTCAGACATAGTTGGAGATGGTCAACCAAAACACTTTGGTATCTGGAGCTCTTTGACAAAATTAACAAATTACAAATATTTATGCTTAAAATCTATCTCCTCATTTCAACAGTGAGGACCATGTACCCTGATTTTCAATTTTCTTTGTCTCTTTTCTTCTTTTGCTTCATCCTGGACTTTAAACCATAATATAAAGCTAGGAATTCTCTGTTTTCCAATTGGTCACAATGAATATTCTATAATTTGCATGGTTAGCATATAACAGTAAAAAAAGAAGGAATAAATGGAAAGATTTGTAAGTGTATCAACTGTGTTTCATGGTTACCTATTCTCTGCTAGCGTCACAGTTTTCAGTAAGAATTTTCATGCTTCCTACTTTGAGGGTTAACTCAGGAAGGCAATTCTTATGTTCTGCATAAATAGGCACCTCTTTCTTCCTCTCCCCCACCCCCCTCTTGCATAGAATAGCTCTCCCTCACCTTTTTGTCAATTTGAGATCAGGAAGCAAGTTACACATCCACCCAGTTAGAAATAAAGTAGACCAGGGTGCAATGCAATATAAAGCCAGAAAGTTTGCTAGAGATTATCTTCCACACTAAAACTCCATCGTCTCACAGTCATAAGTGACATCGTATTATTGGGCCATAAAGAAAGTCTCCTGTGTGATAGATAGTAGCTTTCAGGCAATGTCCCCTCCAAAGGGGGCATCCAGTTCTTAACCTATTGCTGAAAGAGAAATACCATTGTCTATTAATACTACTGGAACTAAAGATGAATAGTGAATTGGCCTTGATCTGACAGTAAGCTTGACTTTGATAGCTCATCCTTTAAAAAGGTTCTTTTATATTTATGGGAAAAAAGCATGACGTCAAGCCAGGGGGAAAATTGATATCAATATGTAAGGCCAAACTAGTAGGAATTAAAAAAAAAAAGTCCCTTGTGAGAACTTTTTTTTTTACATGCATAACTAATTAGCTTAGGTTGTTATAAGCAGGGCTGCTGTGATAAAGTTCCGGTGGTGTCTCGGAATACCTTCTTTATAGTGCCTTCTTTATGCCAGTCGGTCTTCAAATTGGAATTACAGAAAGTAGAGGGACAAGGAATAGTCTGCCGCTTCTCCTTGGACTGGGGCCACTAAAAACGTTATGCTGGAAATGCTAGAATATAATCACTATCAGGTGAGCTCTGTTCTTCATACAGTTCTCAGTTTCTAAATTGTAATGCTGTAAATTGGCTAATTTGCCTCTTGAATGCTATTGTAATAAACACACTCTTTTCAATAGATCGGCTCGCTTAATGCTGTTTATTTTCTGATACCCAAGAAGTAATTTAGTATAGTTTTAGACCTAGTAAATATCAGTAGAATTTGTTTCCTTAGCAAGTAGCTGGCTGTGCTTTCTCACTGGCTTTTGTTCATAGTGCATAAGATTAAATTAATTGTGTTTATCAATGAAAAGTCACTTTAAATACAGTGTCATTGATAACTGTATTGATTCAACAGCGAACCTAGAAATTTTATAGCCACTTTTGAAGAGGCTGTGTCTTTGCTCTGGAAACTGTTATTGGGCATGTTAAAGCTATAATGATATGCTTCTTCTAAAAAAATATTAAAAATGTAAGAAACAGCATATCTTGAAATAAGTGTTGTGCATTTGAAAGTAACTGCTTACTGTGGAATACTTTGTTCATTGAGTTCTGTCATAACATCCTGAATAATCATGTTCATCTATATGAAAGGGGGAATTAATTCACAACTTCTCAATTTTAGACATGGAAATGCTTCTTTCTTTTTTCTTTGTGTGTGTGTGTGTGTGTGTGTGTGTGTAAAACAGAAAACTGCTCTATTTACCAAGGAAAGTGAGATAAGCTGAGCTTTACATCTTTAAGTTCCCTATTTTGATTTTACCAAACCCTTTCATTTTTTGCCGTAAAGACAGTTGCAAATTTTAATGATTATTCATGAAAAGAATGGTGCCAGGCTTGAAAGAGATATATAGTTAATTAACAGGGAAACAAAATAGGAAACATTATTACCCCAAATCCTATCAAAATCCTGTGAGAGTTTCAACTTCAGTCATATCAAAATCCCTTAGCACAGTGCCTGGTACCTCACAGGGGCATAATGATCTAGTCTGTTGGTGAACTAGTCATGATTTGGGCTGAAGAAGAGCTCTTTGAAAACCCAGAATAACGCTATCTTCTCTTCCCTCCATGGCTATGCTCAGGTGCAGACCCACCTCGAAAACCCCACCAAGTACCACATACAGCAAGCCCAAAGGCAGCAGGTAAAGCAGTACCTTTCTACCACTTTAGCAAATAAACATGCCAACCAAGTCCTGAGCTTGCCATGTCCAAACCAGCCTGGCGATCATGTCATGCCACCGGTGCCGGGGAGCAGCGCACCCAACAGCCCCATGGCTATGCTCACTCTTAACTCCAACTGTGAAAAAGAGGTAATTCATGTCTCCTCTTCTCCTCTGTTTTCTTACACTCCATAACTGTCTGTGGAATGTTCTTCTCACCTTTAGCAATGGACTTTCTTTTATCTACCTGGTCATAGCCAGCAGGCTCTGTCTGAATCTCGTCGTTCAGCCTCCTGTCACCGTCACTAGCTTACTAGGTTTATTGCACATGACGGACGATCTGACTTGCTGTAAGCAGGACACAGTGGTGAGAAGGCTCTTTCAACGCCCTTCTCATTCCTTAGCTGAGTGTGCCCTTCCCTCCCATGCCGTTCACTTTATGAAACAGTGAAAATGCAGAGAGAGGAGAAGGGGAGGTGAAAAGGAAAAGCAAAAATAGCAAAGGTGTGGGACTGCGGTTCAGAAGTTCCGCTTGTTGTGAACGTCTGGGGTATTATTTTTATTTCTTCAGGAGTTTGGAAAAGGAAAAGCACGGAATGTGTATGGATGGACAGCGCATGAGGATTTAAGAGAAAAAGCGAAGGTTTATTGTTCCATTCAGCCAGTTTCATAACGAAATTGCTGCTGCCCCTTCAATCTGCTTTGGTAGAGGCTGGACTGGAGACAAGACTCAAATCAACCCTAAGCTAATTTTTGTATCAAAAGTTGGAGCATGAAAATACTTAGGAGTACAATTGTGATTTGATGCCTGTTATTTCAAATTATGAGATGAGTCTCATTTTAATGGAGTTTTACTGTACACTGAAGTGTTTATGTGAGTTCAGAGGTGACTGTTACACAATGTTTGGCTGATTTGAGTCACCAGAGGGACTGTTTTTTCCCCCCTCTGCCCAAACCAAACACTTTTTATCCAATCCCTGTCTCTCCTATGCATTGGCCCAAGTTCCCCTTGGTTATTTGGTTCCTAGGTTAGAATCTACTTGTTTGAACACTCTCTCCATCTCATTGCTGTGCCACCAGCCTTGTCTGAATGTGTTGTTGAAAAGTAATTTGCAAATTCAAGTCATGGATTGTCCTTGCTTGTGTTTCTGCAGGGATTTTATAAGTTTGAAGAGCAAAACAGGGCGGAGAACGAGTGCCCAAGTATGAACACGCACACTCGCGCATCGTGCATGCAGGTACTGAAGGGCTTGGCAGGCAGAGGATGTAACACTTCATAATGAGAGTCTATATTTGTGGCTGGTCACAGTTTCCTGATGACTTAAGGGCCTTTTTTCTTCCCACTGACTTTTTTTTTTTAATATACAAAGCTATGAACAGACCCATTTTCTTCATAGTAACTCATGAATGACCAGATAACTATTAGAGAAATTAAATGTTTGATGCCCCTTAAATTGACCAAAGTAAAAAAACAAAAAAAGTGGGTAAAATACATAGATTTCCATAAATAAATATAAGTTGCTTTAACTCATTTGCATACAATCACCAATGTAGATTATGTGGATTTGTACTTCCTGATACATATATTATGAAACAATGTTAATTTAATGCTGTCTAATAGGTATTTCCGCAGGTAATTAAGATCATTACCTAACATCTTATTCAGTGAATAAATTACATCACATTTATTTACGTATTTACATGTGTATTCAGATATTCAAGAGAGAATATAAAAAATAAAACATTTTTGCTTTCTTTTCCTTAAATTTTGAAACGGGGTCTCACTGTGTAGCTCTCGCCAGCCTGGAACTCACTATATAGGCCAGGCTGGCTTCTAATTTACAGAGATCTAGCCTCTACCTCTCCAATGCTGGATTAAAGGCATGTAACACCACATTTGGCTTATTTTTTTGCCATATATCTATATCTATCTATCTACTTATGTATACACTAGCTTATAGAATGCTTTCATGTCATATTAGGGGCAAAAATTTTGTTCTTTTAAAACTAAAGTAAAAAGTCATAAAGGAAGTTGTTCATTAAGTCTCCAACCCATTTTCCTACTTACCAACCTGATTTTAAAATTATCTATTACAAACAAATAAAACTGATGTGCCTGGAAATGGAACCTAGCACACAGTATGTTATCAGCTATTCAAAACTGAATATTCTTTGAGGAAATTACTTGATGAGAGTCATTCTTTAGCTATTACAGTATTCCTGACATTCTAAACAATCCATACGGTTTATCCTGAAATCTCATCTGAACTCAATGAGATAGTAAATATTCTTGCCCCCGTTTGATAGAGCAGCACAGTTGAGTCTATTGAGGATTGGAAGGTTTGCCCTTCAACTAGAAAGGGGGAGAGCCAGTATTTTTACCTAAGCCCCATGATGCTAGAGCCTCACTGCTTGAATGGGGAGTGCAAACAGACACAGAGGAGTCTCCTGGCCGTCTTAGATGTTGTGTACCTGTGAAGCACTGTTCAGACTCAGGCACAAGCACCAGCCAGCTCCCATATACAAGATGTTTACGAATAAATGTTTCCCACACTTTGCAACTGCTGCAATGCACATGTAACCACCGCTGTTTATTACTGTAACTGCTGTTTTAGTACTTCAGCAATAAAATTGATCTAGTGGGAATGTCAGCTCCAGGACTATGATGATAACCTCGTCGCTCACTGGCAGCTGTACAGAAGATGCTTGTTTTACAAGTCACTGTACAATCTGTGCAAGGCCAGCCAGTGGCCAGGAGGCCCCTGTGGAACTCAAGGGCTGAATTGCCTTCTCTGTATTCCTTCTCCTAGAAAGGTATGCTAAAGTGTAGAGGAAGTGACAGCTCTCATTGAGTGGAATTTCCTGTCTAAGGAGGCAGTTCATCATAATGGTTGAGACCTAGGCTAAATCATGGCCCCAACTCTGCTTTGATGAATGACTCCAGGCAAGCTTCTCCCCTTTATTAGACCCTGACAGTGGCTGTCACCCTAGGGCCCACTCTGGTAGGGCAGTTTTCACAGTAAATAACTTAACACATGCTTAACACCTAGTCAATGCTAGCTGCCTTTTCATGGCAGATTTATGTTAATGGACTTCAATGATATTTTAATTTTAATTTTAAGGGGAAAAGAATGATTACTCTTAGGCTCTAACTAAAGATCACTATTGCTTTAGGTAAGAAAGGACCAAAGATGTCTCTTTGGGGCTAACATACCTTTTGCTCATTCCTTTCTCTCTTTTGTGGCTCTTTTTCCTATAGATGGATGATGTAATTGATGACATCATTAGCCTGGAATCAAGTTATAATGAAGAAATCTTGGGCTTGATGGATCCAGCCTTGCAAATGGCAAATACGGTATTGATGACTTTTTTCTATTTTCCCAAGAAAATCTTGATATAGTTCTAACATTCTTTCTCTTTGCCTGAAGCCTTGGTTTACTTTTATACTGATTCTTTAAGAATAAGTAATAAAATGAAAAATTATTCATAAGTAATTTTGATATCAAAAATTAAGAGGTTTACTTGAGTTTATCCAGAGATCCATGATTAAGCTCTGTGTTCCTGGAGTCCAAGTTCACCTTACATTTTTGTTGTTTTGTTTTATTTTGTTGGTTTTTTTTTTTTTTATTGTTAGGAATTGAAGCTACAGCCTACTACATGCAATGTAAGCCCTCTACCACTGAGCTACATCTCCAGTCTCTTCTTTCTCTCTCTCTCTCTATGCTTATGTATATGTATGTGTGTACATGTGTGTGTGGGTTCACATATGTGTGCAGGTGTCTGTGCATGTGCGTGCCCATGTGTGTGGAGAGCAGAGATCAGTCTTGGATGTCGTTTCTCAGATGCTGTCCAATTTGATTATTGAGACAGGATCTCTTACTGACCTAGAACTTGCCCAAAAGTTTGGCTGGCTGCCCAGCAAGCCCCTAGGATATGCCTGACGACCCCTGCCCAGTGCCAGGATTACTTTGTACCACTGTGCCTGACTTTTAATGTAGGGTCTGGTAATTGAACACAGGCCTTCATGCTTGCATTGCAAACACTGAACTAACTGAGCTATCTCCTCAGGTCCCAATGGCACTTTTGATAAGATATTAGTTCCTCCAGTTTTCCCTGACATCTAATACCCAGCTTAGTACTCCTTAGCCAAGGGAACGACTGTGAATTTTGCTATTCACAGTAGTGTCTGACCTAAAAGCACTAATGTGATTTGTAAAATGGGGTCCTGTATTCACAGGTGGTAGAGAGATAATGAGGCTGCTTTTCTTCAGCAGCATAGCTTAACCTGATTTTAGTTCATAAACCACTGGTTACTTTTTTCCTTCTATAATTTGGAGTTTTGCATGTACTACTTTCTTTCCTTATATTTGTATTTAAATTATTGTCTTACAAAAGTTCTTCTGGATCTCATTTGCAGTCACTGTGTTAGTAATCTGGTTTGGTACCATTGCCCTCTAAAACTCTAGTGGATAAGGCAGTGTATATAAGATGGTGTAACCAGACCCTGGTCTGCTCCGTAGCTCCTCTAACCCTTTCAGTTGTCCTTGAGATGAAGGCTGTGAAGCTACTATATTCTTTAACAACCAGTGTTTAAAGAACTAGGAGGAGAGGCAGGAAGGAGGGCCTGCTATTTAGGGTAGCAGTTTGGAGTTTCCAAGTTCCAAGGTGAAAAATACTGTTTCAGAAGAAGATGAATATGTGTAACACAAGCTATACACGTAAAATTGTAACTTTGTGTTGTATGCTTTATATATGTATATATTTATTTATTTAGAAGAAGCATTTCATTACAGCTTTAACATACTCAATAACAGTTTCCAGAGCAAAGATACATCTCTTTCAAAAGTGGCTATAAAATTTTTAGGTTCACTGTTGAATTAATACAATTATACAATATTGAACTCAATATAAACCCTGTAGGACATAAAATTGAATGAGTTTTTATCCTTTAAAAAAGATCTCAATTTCATTTTAAAATATACTGTTTCTTACAGTCTCATTGTTTTTGCTAATAACACTGAGATGTTGGTGCATGTGTCTCTAATCTGTATGTATCTGATTATTACTAGTCATAATCAGTTGCACTTGGATCCTTGGCACCTGTGTATATCTATACAGTCATTGGGTGGATTTCAATGGTAATGTTTATCACCTGTACTAATTAACATGAAGTAAATGTCCATGCTTCCTCCTCAAATATAATTCATTTTTTTAAAATTTGTTGATTTTGTGTGTATATCACACAGAAAGTCCCAAACCATCTTATTCATCTATATACCCACTTCCCAGATGGCACCCTCCCATAGCCTCCCCCCTCCACTAGAGCCCTTATACCTGATATCCCTGCTACTGTCCACTGTGTTGTCGGCATCCTCAGCCATTCCCCACTACTTGTCCATCTGGTGAATCTAGTCAGCCTATCTAGAGGTCTTTGTTTTAGGA